GGGGGAAGGTTCGGACGATTAATATGATGAAGATGGCTCGCTCGCCGCGGCCTTGGCCAAAGTGGTCAAGCTACTTACCGTGCGAGGAGAGACACGGAGAGAAAGAAGGGAGAGACGGGGAGAGAGGGAGAGAGAGGGAAGGGAAGGGCAAGACGAGGATGCTGTGAGCCTTAACGCGCGTTTTGTGAGTGCACACACACACACACACACACACACTCGCCGCTGCGCCCGGACGGGAGTGTGAAGAAGGCGAGGGGAACAGAACTGTCTGAGGGAAAGACAACTGGACGCATTAGAAACGGCTTTGCATTTGCAGATCAGAGGCGCGCGGCTTGCGGCTCTTTGGACTCTCTGGAGAATCTTTTAGTCCAGCGCCGGAGATCCTCCGGCACCTTCGCGTGTATCGGCGTAAAAGTATGTAGGGCCGACGAACAAGTTTGTACCGACATTTTTCTTGGGGAACAACAGTTAACCCTTTACAAAGACGTGTGTGTGTGTCGTGCCGCCCGGATTTTTATCCAGCGAATGCGAATGGTTGGATGCTTGAGTGTCCTTGCCTTTGCTGATTTGGAGAGTGGACCAGTTGGAGTGTCCAGCTGCTCTATGGAGAGTAAATCCGCTGGAGTGTCCAGCTCTTTCTGGACTGGAGTCTCCAGATGCTGGAGAGTTGACCGGCTGAAGTGTCCAGCTACTCTGGAGGGGCTGATCCGCCGGGGTGTCTAGCTGCTGGCTGCAGGGTCGATCCGCAGGGAGTTTTCAGGTGCTGGAGAGCTGCTGATCCAAGCGTCCCAGCTGCTCCGGACGGAGAGCTGTTCCGCTGGAGATCGGTTGACCAGTAGCCGGCGCGGGAACCTCAATGCGCGGCCGTGACGCCTCGTCAGCAGCGCGCGGGCTCTGGAGGAGAACACAATAAATGATATCGCTGCTGGAGTCGGAGCGGCAGCCGCTGCTGCTGCTGGAGCCCCCCAGCCGCCGCCGGGGCTCCGCAAATTAGCCCAGGCTGGCGAGGAATCCGATACAAATAGAAACAATACACAATGCACAATGCGCAAAGGGGCATCGCGCGGAGCAAGAGCAGGGGGCTCTCCAAGGGCCTATCCAACTGTCCCTGATAGAAACCCCTTCGCGCGCGTCCAGCGCGCGTCAGCTGGGCTGGAAAAACAAAGGTGTGCGTGCGTGTGTGTGTGTGTGAGTGCGTCGCGCGCTCTGGGGCTGCGCTGCGGGAGCGATAACTATGCCAGGACCCGCCGGCCAACTTGATTTGTCGGTGGAACCCAATATTTTTCTCTTGTGGTAGACAAGGCGGCCGTGGCCGCACGGAAAATAATGACCGATGTTTATGTAGCTATGTATTTTTATAAGTAGCTTAACAAAGCTAAATGTTTGGCCGCACCTTATTTTTGCAACATCGCCAATTTTTAATCCACATAGCTAAATAATTAGGTATCCCCAAGTTAGCTATTGTTTAGCTATATAGCTAACCTTATTTTCTCCCGTGCCAGAATATTGCGATTGTCTGTGTTGTTTCGTGAGGACCCACCATCCACACCGCCGCCCGCCTCTCACCGCTCTTTTTGAGATGCCGGGCGCGGGTCACTGGACAACGACTGGTGCCTCCTCTTCTCTCTTTCTATCTCCCCGCCCCCCGCCCCCC